CATCACTTCGAAGAAATTTTTTAACTTTCGATTCTTAAGGCATAATCATTAATTGTTCTATCTGGATAATTTTTATTCTTTAAATAGGTGCAATTATTATACAATTGCATTTGATAAACGCATATAAAGTAGATAATGACAAAAAGTAATTTCACATGATGTTTTATAAAATGCATATAAATACATTTACTGATTAACTAGAGATAATATATAAATCAGTAAAATATTTTAGTTTAAACTGCGAAAATTAAAAATTATGCAAATAGACTCAACTTAAAACTGGTTTTTAATATTGTAATATGTAAAAAAATGGGCATTGGACATAAAGTCAAGTCTTATTATATCATTTACTTTATTTACTTTGTACGCTGCATATATATTTATGTAAACTAATATTATCGTTATCAGTTATATGCATTTATACTGCGAAATAGTATTATCATTATCGGTTATATGCATTTATACTGTGAAATAGCAGGTTGACTCAATAACTAAATCATGCCCTACTAATATTCCACATTGTATATTACTTTATATATATTATACATATTTTAGATCTAAAAATCACATGTGATTTGTCAAAACTATAAATTTATTGACTGACTCTCGTAGTAGTTCAAATTTTTGGCAAAAAATATATTTGTATCACTAAATAATAAATTGACTCAGTAATTGGGTCATAATTTATAAATACGAAAATCCATGTGATTTGCCAAAACTATAAATTTATCAACTGACTCTAGTGGTTTGGATTTTGGCGAAAGTTCTAATTTACAACAATAAAATACTTAATTATTATTTTATTTACGCAAATGAATAAGACATAATGTTGTATCAAAGAGAATACCTGTTTCTATCAAATCAAGATGATTATTTTAATAATTTACCATCATATGAATCTAACAATTCATTTGATATTAGGAATGTATTAGTTTCTTTTCAAGGTAAGAATTTATAATTAAAATAGTAATAACAAGAAAGAAAATAATCATTTAATTTTGTATAGATACAATTGCATCCGAAGAATTTGTTGCCCTACTAACAAATGAAATTGAACAAAAATTAAATAGCAAACTGGAAACAAGTATTAATAACATTAAAAATCAATATTATAACATTTATAAATGGCTTTTTATTATTTCATTTGTACTTAATATTTTGTTTCTTTATTATTTTTGTCAAGACTATTTGAATATGGATAACACTAGCTTTCTATATATTTTCAGGAAGATTAATCAAAAATTAGGATTTATTTTCTAACAAATGAAATAAAGTTAATAAGATTAAATAAAGCTTCTCGTTAGGTCTTCTAAATCTTTGCTTATATGCCTTTGTAGTATGAATAGCTTTTATTAACAGCAATTCAAATATTCATTTCCCTCTGATAGATTGTGTAATATAGTAAATTATTTTTCGAATGATAAAAAAATTAATTTTTATTCAGAAGACAATTGCTAATTTCATAATTGATAATAATTTGGTAAATTTGATTGTTGATAGTGTATAGTAGTTAATAAAATTAACTGAAAATAAATAAAATATAAATTTCTAGTTTATAGTCTTTATCATATATATTTATAAATAGCTTTTATTATATTGTAATTCTGAATTAATGTCTCTGTGACAGAAGCAAGTTATAGACCTTTCGATTACATTATTACTTCCTATGTTACGGGCTTATTCATGGGTATCAGATCACATTATCAGTTTTAACAGTAAGAGTCATGATCTATACGTGACTGCAAAAATCAAATAATGTATTCTTGTAGCTTGCTATACGCAAAAATCTGCAGACTATGGAGAAATAGAAGGCCTGCATAATCTCGGAAGGTACTATCGTGATGGATTCGGTATTATCAAAGATTTAGAAAAATTGGTTACTTAATAAAATGAAATATTTATTATAAAGATTGGCCAAACTATATAACAAACTAACTTATTACGAGCTTGAAACCATGGAAAACATGACATGAATAAAGATCACGTTAAAGCACTGAAATATTTAAAATAAGTACATGAATTATGTGAAAAACATGCTTCGCATTTATTAATTCTTCTTAATGTAAACAACTAACAATTCTAAATTTCGATTTATTTTTCTTTGGTTTAAAAATATATAACTTATTTAAAGTTCGTAAACCTATAAATTCGAAAAAATGCAGCATGTAACCTTATTGTTACTAATATTCGCTGTTATCTCTTGTTTAATGCTTAACACTACATAAATATTTGATGGCATCATCAATTTCAACAACAGTTTTCTTTAACCTCTAAAAACAGGCTTTTTTTATTAATAATCATGAAATATATTCTTGGTTATATATTTTTATATTGCTAAATAACAACAAGATCATAATTTATAGGTACTAAAATATACGCAATTCATTAAATATATTAATTTTATTACTGTGTTAAAAATGTAAAAGGAAATTCATATGATTCTATATGTTGTATATATATGCGAAATAGTTTCAACGAGGCAAAATATCAGTATAATGAAAACTCAAAATAGCCTCCAACTACGAAAGCGTGAAATTAAAAATTATCATATGAATATTCTGTATAAGAAACGTGATCTTAAAAGGCACAAAAAGAATTATTTCAAAATTCTTCCAAATGAAATTATTGATATGATATTTGTAAATATCATTAATAATATTTTTAATATTCAAATTACATTTAAAAAATCAGTACTCGATTTTATTTCTTCAATGCAATTGATTAATCGAAAAATGAAAACACATTTTGAAGTAACTCTTCAACACTTTTATACGTACCATGTGTGTGTACTCCAAAAACTTGCATGGTTTGAATGATGTTACATATCTCTTTGTTAATCATCCCACTGCAAAATTTAAGAATTCTTGAAATACAAAGATCAAGGATATCTTTCATACATCGGAAAAGCTTGCATTTATCCTTATAACACTTATCAGGAAGAGGCTCAAAAGGTTTTCCAGAAAATTCTCCCACAATTACCTCACATTTTTCTTTTTTCCAATAATCTTGCCACGTGACGTTAAAATCAACCTTATGGCCTGGCCTTTCCTCCTGCATTTAAATGAATTTATTATTAATCACATTCTATAAATTAAATTTGATTATTACTTACATCAGTTTTTTTAACAACGTTTATACATGCTTTGGAAGCAATTGAATGATGTTCAGCCCTAAAATTAATCTTTAAAGTTAAGTACAATATTATTATAGTTGTTGCATTTTTTATTTTATTTTATTTTTGGTATACATACCAAGAAATTTTTATATTAGGAACAGAATCTAATAATGGTTCAAGAAAAATTGATAATACTTTAACTGTCCATGTGTTTTCATTAATAAATGTGTCAAAAGGCTCGATTATTTCATAATTAAGGATTCGGGAGCTATTTAAACATAATTGTTAGTAAAGTAAGTATGTAAAAATCACTTTATAAGTAACATACAATCCTCTAATAACGCATTTAATATATGGCATTAATCCTGTTATTTTTTTGAAAGCACTTTCACTCTTGTCAGAGATATCATCAATGCTGGTATTGATAGTGGTAGTATTTGAATTTCTGATATTAGTATTGATATTGGTGCTTGTGATGGTATTATCAGTATTGTCAGTATTGTCGGTATTATCAGTATTGGTATTGATAGTTTCAACCACCGATGTAGTAATCGCAAGCATAGTATTGAAATTAATACATTCTATTGGTTGTATGACCTCATTGTCGATTAAAAAATGAATTTGTTTAACTTGCGAAGGTGTTAATATAAACAAAGGAATCTTCTGTGTTTCATTCAGGAAATTAATATCTTCTATAGATAAGATTGTTTTGATATCATTATCATTTGTATTGATAATATTTGAAAAAATTTCATGATTATAATAAGAATCTTTTTCCTGAATTTGAATGATTGCTTCTTGCAGGGAATCTTCTATAGTTCGACCAGATGGTAACTTATTGTTGGATTTTGTAGATAAACCATTAGTAATAAATATTAGTTATACAAAAAAAAAAATAATTATGATTTAAATATCAGGATTACATATTTTTGATTTTCCAATGATTCCTAATTTTTGGATTTTTGTTCCAATACATCATCTACATTCATAATAAATCTATGAGATCAGTTTTAAAAAGCAAGATGAAAGATAAATTTTGCATGCCTAAAAAATCTTGCGCTTCGGGTGGAATCTTATTTTTATCAGATTTCGTATATTGCTAACACCAGCCTGACCAAAACTTCTTGACTTCGTTTGAGAATTTGTCTTCCTATCACATATAACATTCAATAAGCATTGTTTGTAAATTTTGCAAAATCAAGCTTGTGAAGTATAGGCAGAACAAAAATAAAATAAAAG